AACTATACGCGATACCTTTTTCTGCCGACTTCCAAAAAGGAGACGGTACTCAATTTTTTTTATGTGTGTTACCTCATAACTTATTACTGGGTGAACCGAATTGGATGATTCTTTTTTATATGAAAGCTGATACTTCTCGTGTGGTCCCATATGAATTTGATCAAGGTCAGACCAATAGTTTTACATTACATTAGATTTGATAGACCACAAATCCTCGCAAAAGAACACAGATTCATTCCAAGGATGATTCGCGAGGCTATTGAAATTAAAAAACATCCTAATTTCAATAGAGAAGATGGATGGGTGCTGCCATCTGCTTGGGATCCCATAATTAATAAAATCAAATCCAAACCCAAGTATACCACTGCTAGACTTCAAGATACTGTAAGCTCATTCTGCGTAAATCGAACCAAAAATTAATATTAAAAAACTGAAGGTAGCCGGGCTAACTATGACAGCAGGACGTCAAACACCTCAGTTCCCCGTGACCACGGGTGCTGGAAAGCACCCGAAACGTCGGGAATATAAAAATAAGTTAATATACGCGATAAAATCCGTAAAATTAGTTTTATTTAAAAAAAGAGCTAATAATTTTCTGCTGACCAGATGTCGCTAGTTGATACTGTGGTAAAGTTTTTTGTTACACGATGTCCTTTAACTGAGAAGTTAGTTTTTACTGAAAGTATCAATTTCTAGAATTAATACACTAAACAATGCTCTTTAATTTTTTGCATATTTTTAACTTTTTCAAAAATTTCTGCTTTTATGAATATCTGTCGTTTGGTTTATTTATTTTTAATGTAATTAATATAAAATATAACTAATAGTACGTAAAGAAACATTAACCTTTACATTTTCCGAACAAATTAACTTCCCAGCTATGAAATCTGTCAAATATTATACCGGTGGAGGTTCTGTTGCCACCTACGACGACTCGACCTGGCAACTTATAACGGACACATCCTGAGGACTGACGAGAAGTTCCTAGAGCTGGAAGAAGAGATAGACAAGTTGCGCTGGAATATCATAGGATTATCCGAGGTCCGCAGAGAGGGGGAGGACACGGTAATCCTAGAATCCGGCAACTTGTTCTATCACCGGGAGGCCGACGATCTGTTCCAAGGAGGTGTCGGATTTATTGTCCACAAGTCTCTTGTTAACAACGTTATAAAGATTGGGAGTGTGTCAACGAGGATTGCGTACCTTATACTCAGAATCACCAAACGGTATTCGCTGAAGGTCATACAGGTTTGCGCACCAACCTGGGCATACCCCGATGAGGAGGTGGAGGAAATGTATGAGGATATCTCTAGAGCCATGCATTCCTCCAAAACCCAATATACGGTGTTAATGGGAGACTTCAATGCAAAACTAGGCACAAGAGAGAACGGTGAGCTGAAAGTAGGGAAATTTGGAATAGGGCAACGGAACCCAAGGGGCCAGCAGCTGGCCGACTTCATGGAGAAAGAGTGACTCTTTATGATGAACTCTTTCTTCCAGAAGCGGGGCCCCACAGGAAGTGGATCTGGTCGAGCCCCGACGGTTCGAAAAAAAAAGAGATTGACTTCATTATGACGACCAGACGACAACTGTTCAGTGATCGCGAAGGTGAAAACCGGCAGCGATCACCGAATGGTTAGAGGCACACTGAACCTAAACGTTAAGTTAGAGAGGTCACGTCTAATGAAGTCAACGCTCCGTGTCCCCCTCGTGCTCTAATCCAAAGCCCCGAAACCTTTCAGCTCGAGCTACGAAACAGTTTTCAGTGCCTAGAAGATTGCAATGCAGGGGACGATATGAATGACAAGCTCGTGAAAATTGTCTATGCGGTCGGAGCTAAGTTTTGCAAGACCCGCCGCAAAAGAACACAAAAACTCTCCGATCACACATCATCTCACACATCTCATGGCTGTTAGACGGGATATGAAGCTGCAGTCTTCAGTAGATTTGACAGCATACAGGGAACTGAACAGACAAATCTCCAAATGTATGCGGCGGGACTTACGCAACTTTAATACTGTTGGTATTGAAGAAGCGATCGAGCGGAACCAGGGCTCCAAAGTCTTTGCTAGAGATCTGTCTGCGAGAAAGTGCCAACTTTCAAAGCTGAATACTGAGGGTGGCAGCGTCGTTTCCGGGACACCTGAGATTTTGAGTGAGATTGAGAGGTTCTATGGGCAGCTGTACACATCATCGTTGGAGCCACACTTAAGTGTGAGTAACGATCCAAGAACGAGTCTTATCCGACATTATTCCGATGATATCCCGGACGTCAGTCTGAGCGAGATTAGAATGGCTCTCCAGCACCTTAAAAACGGCAAGGCCCCAGGCGAGGGTGGAATTACAGCGGAGCTTCTGAAAGCGGGTGGAAAACCAGTACTTGAAGTCTTTGAGAAGCTCTTTAATTCCGTCCTCCATGGTGGCATTACACAGGAGGCGTGGAGCAGAAGTGCGGTGGTCTTGTTCTTCAAGAAAGGTGACAACGCTTCCTTGAATAACTACAGACCGATTTCCCTTCTGAGCCGCGTCTACGTGCTTTTTCGAGAGTCATTACGACATTCTCATCGTCATACATCTCGCGCGCAGACTTGACGACTTCCAGCCTCCCGAACAAGCCGGTTTCCGAAAAGGCTTTAGCACCATAGACCACATACATAACCTTCGGCAAATTGTACAGAAGTCCGAGGAGTACAATTTGCCACTATGTCTGGCGTATGTAGAATATGAGAAAACCTTTGATTCCGTCGAAATTTGGGCGGTGCCAAGTTGACTGTCGGTATATCGAAGTGCTTGTGCAGTAGGGCTACGATGGCTATCCGAGTACAGAACCAGAGTACTAAACCTATCCAACGGATAGGTCTTAAGATGAACATGGACAAAACAAAGATCATGTTTAATGTCCATGTCACACCTATGCTGGTAGTTGTTGGGAGCACTAAGCTCGAAGTTGTTGACGAGTATGTTTACCTGGGAGAAATAGTCCGACTAGGTAAGTCCAACTTCGACCGAGAGGTCAATCGACGGATTCAACTCGGTTGGGCAGCGTTCGGGAAATTACGGCACATCTTCTCGTCAGGTATACATCAAAACTTGAAAACGAGACTGTACAACCAGTGCGTGTTGCCAGTGATGACATATGGAACTGAGACGTGGTCCTTCACTGCTGGCCGGATGAGGAAGCTCAAGGTCACTCAGCGAACTATGGAGAGGGCTATGCTTGGAGTTTCTCTGCGTGATAAACTCAGAAATGAGGATTTCCGCAGCAGAACCAGAGCGACCGACATAGCCCAACGGATTAGTAACCTGAAGTGGCAGTGGGCCGGCCATATAGCTCGAAGAACCGACAACCGATGGGGAAGAAAGGTTTTCGAGTGGCGCCCTCGTACCGGCGGACGAAGTGTAAGGCGTCCCCCCACTAGATGGAGTTACGACCTGGTAAGAGATGCAGGAAGTCTATGGATGCAGGTGGCTCAGGACCGTGCTTTGTGGCATTCCTTGGGGGAGGCCATGTTCAGCAGTGGATTTGTGAAGGGCTGTAATGATGATGATGAACCCAACTTGTCTAAATTTAGGTTACAAGTGTGTCCCTCGGTAACGTGCAACCTCGAAAGGGGGGTGAAACTAGACCATAAATTATCGACGAAATATAATTAATGACTTTAACTTAGCTTTTCGTGAAAATAGTAAAATTCTTTTATGACTGTTTTTTTTTAAATGATCTCTAATTTTATCAAAATTATTCTCCCAATATACAGCAGGAAATTTCATGATTTAATATTATTGTCTTTCGTATTGCCTTTCAAATAAAAAAAAAATTATGCTGTAACCCAAAAACACACTGGCTAAGAGTTCTTAAAATTGACGTCCTCTCAGGTTCACACACCCTCTTTTAACATTGTATGCTACAACATTGGTTTGATAGGACGTCCTTTTGTGTGTTGTAGGTAGTGTATCCCCCCCCCCCGCCCCCCCACAAGAATGCACGAGTTTCTTAGCCATAACTCTTGAAAAAACTGGAGGCAGAGTTGTACTTCTTTTTGAGTGTTTTCATCCAGGGATGCCGATGCGTCGGCCTTGACCTTATAAATGTCTTTGCCTTGCTTTTGCCGCGATGCAATTTTGCAAGAGCGATTAATCCAAGCTTTTACTCTATCTTAACTTGGGCTGTTACAGATTTCTTGCAGCGTTACTGAAATAGACACTTAGTAATGTGAGTGGGGTCGACGTTAACTTTGGGTGAAGTAAATCTAGACGTGTTCTCAGCTTTCGCCCAAACACCAACTCAGCCGGTGAGAAACCCGTGACAGAATGACTTTAACTTAGCTTTTCGTGAAAAAAGTAAAATTCTTTTATGACTGTTTTTTTTTAAATGATCTCTAATTTTATCAAAATTATTCTCCCAATATACAGCAGGAAATTTCATGATTTAATATTATTGTCTTTCGTATTGCCTTTCAAATAAAAAAAAAATTATGCTGTAACCCAAAAACACACTGGCTAAGAGTTCTTAAAATTGACGTCCTCTCAGGTTCACACACCCTCTTTTAACATTGTATGCTACAACATTGGTTTGATAGGACGTCCTTTTGTGTGTTGTAGGTAGTGTATCCCCCCTCCCCGCCCCCCCACAAGAATGCACGAGTTTCTTAGCCATAACTCTTGAAAAAACTGGAGGCAGAGTTGTACTTCTTTTTGAGTGTTTTCATCCAGGGATGCCGATGCGTCGGCCTTGACCTTATAAATGTCTTTGCCTTGCTTTTGCCGCGATGCAATTTTGCAAGAGCGATTAATCCAAGCTTTTACTCTATCTTAACTTGGGCTGTTACAGATTTCTTGCAGCGTTGCTGAAATAGACTGGCGATACATAGATGTTTTAAGACATAGAAATAAAACAATAGCTTAATAGCGACCATAATTTATTGTATAATCTACTAACGGCTTGCATAAATATATTTATTGGCAGACGTCTAACATTTTTGATGATTGATGGTAACTATAATTTAACATACTTGCACCTTGGGAGGATCGGGTTTGGGGAACTCGCCGAGTTTGTCGATGTAGTATTGGTATGCACGGAAAGGCTTCAATTCCCATGGCACTTGATCTTCCATATGCGTCAGACAAACTCCTAAATCTTCCAAAGTGGGTACTCCACTCTGTGGTCTGTCAGTAGTCGATTCCTGAAACAGCATAAAATGAGTTTTTTTTTAATAAATTTTTAATTGAATTCTGTCTGACAAAACTGAATGTTTTAACAGTAATCATAAAACTAATGGTTCACCCCTGAGGATCAAGATGGAATGCCTCGGTTCCAGTAAAAAGGTTCCCTACACTCACCATAGCGAAAAGGACAGCGTAAAATAGCAGCGTTAAGCTGCTATTTTACACTGGTATTCTGCGAGAGTGTGGTCCTTCCCTGGTCGAGCCGACCCATTCGTGCTACAACTATACCACTAATATAGCTGCAGTATGGCTCTACCACATAATGATGGTTATCTATGCAACATAGCGGCATTTAGTGATGGTAGAGCCAAACCATTAGTGCTACAAGCATAATCTAGCAGGAGCATAATGTGGCTCTACTACTTTTTTTAAAGAATAAGTTAAAAAGATGTGTGTTAAATTTAATAAATAATTATATTAGAATTAAAACAATTATACTGCAAATACAACAATCCACTCTTAGTTTGTTTATTCTGTACAAAATATATAAAATTTTAGTAATATAGTTGAACTGTGCTTAAAACATACCTTTTCCAAACCTTCCCAGTGGAGCCCACCGAACGGATAGGCCGGAGATAGTAAATTAGCGGCGGCAACTCTTAGAGGGAAAAATATGGGGTCGTACTTCATGTCGTAGCGCCTGAAGCCCCACTTTTCGTCCTTACGCATCAGCTTATAGAACCAATCAATGAGGTCACCGAGGAGATATCTCTTTGGTCTGGAAATATTTTATAATCATTACTCCCCTTTTGCATACTTACGTTCATTTAAGTTTTTTAAATAGCTACTAAAGAAATATTAGGTGTGTACAAAAATTTTTTCCGCTTCCAAAATCTCGAAATTAAAGATTAAAAAAATAAAGATGTTATAGTCTGTTCGCTAAGATAGTGCCGATACACCCGGAGGCGCACTTATTATTTGCTTTTTGTTGTGTATGTACGTTAATAATATGTATGTGTGCATGGCTGCGCCCACGGTATGTGTCTAATAGAGTTAATACAGTCAGTGTGTCAATAGCTGTGTTGTGTTTCACTTGTCTCCCGTACCAAGAACCATAACAGCGGCGACGAGGATGGGACGGGCCGCTGAATAATCAAACGTTCTTAGTAGTGGTAGATGCGCACACCAAATGGTTAGAAGTATACGACGTGAGCACTTCTACCACCTCGGCGACCGTTATTGAAAAACTTTACGACTTTATGTCTAAGTACGGATTACCCCACACAATTGTTAGCGATAATAGTATTGCTCATCTTACATCACCACCTTACAATCCTGCAAGTAATGGCCAAGCAGAAAGTTTCGTAAAAATTGTCAAAAAGGGCATAAAGTCAAGCGTTTTAGTTTCACGCAATAGGAATGAGTGTAGGCTAAAAATTTTGAAATATCTGTTTGACTATAGGAATTCAGTACATTCTGTCACGGGTTTCTCACCGGCTGAGTTGGTGTTTGGGCGAAAGCTGAGAACACGTCTAGATTTACTTCACCCAAAGTTAACGTCGACCCCACTCACATCACTAAGTGACGATGTTAAACAAAAACAGTGCTCGCAAATTAATTGCCATGGCGGCAATAATAAACAAGTGTATGTGCCAGGCGATGAGGTTATGTTTAAAAAGTTTCTGAATAACAGCAAATTTTTGTGGTGCAAAGGTACTGTTATAAAAAGACTCGGAAAAGTGTTATATTTGATTAAATACCATGGTTCTTCTACTGACGTCAAAAAACATAAAAATCAAATTGTATTAAATAAAGGCATGTCTCCACCCGGGGATTTGGGCGATTTTATGTGGGAAAGCGACCCAATTCAAAGCGAACATAGCGGTTCTCAGTTGCCAAGCAGAGGGGAGGGAGAAAGAGATGAGGAGGAATTCTCATACTCACCATCTCCTCAGAACCCGAGATGTTCTAGAAGACTGTTGCGAGATATACCCAGGGTTGACTATAAGCAGTTCTTCTAATTTTGATATTTTTGATTAATTGTGATTTCCTAGATAAGTTAAATAGGGGGAAGGACTGTTGTGTATGTACGTTAATAATATGTATGTGTGCGTGGCTGCGCCCACGGTATGTGTCTAATAGAGTTAATACAGTCAGTGTGTCAATAGCTGTGTTATGTTTCACTTGTCTCCCGTACCAAGAACATAACACTTTTGTTTCATTATTTTTTTAAATGTAAAAGGCGACTTCAAAGATTTAAAAGGAATAAAATAACTTCACATTCAGAATTCGGGGCTTTAATTCTTCCACATATAATACACTATGTGTTAGCACCGTCTTCAGAATTGAAAGTTAATTGTTAACTCTTTTGAGAGAACTAAGGAATATCACAGTTTAAAGACATTACAGTTGGAAAAAATAAACATACTTGTGCAGGGCAAAGGTATTCTACTAAGTCTGCTATACAATAAATGGGGTTGGCGCTAGCGTGTCTTATAATACGTAATGAACTAATTTTAAGTGCCATTTTCGAAATATATAATATCTATAATGGTGAATTACTGTTATTGTTATGAGTTACTAAGTAAAATTGCATTCAAATGACGGCCATGCTTAATCTTCCTCTTTTTTTTTGATAAAAATTTTTATCCGAATGCAAATACACTACATAATTAAATTTAACAATCGAAAACTGAATGCCTCATTAGAAAGGGTCTTCGTCACTTATCAAGTGAAACGCGGTACCTTTATGCTATTTTATACTTGTATTCAGTGCGAGTGTGGTTATTTCCTAGACAAGTTGACCGATTGAAATTACATTCATAATATGCTGCAGCGTAGCTTTACCGCGTAAACATCGTAAAGGTATCATTTACCACCATGATAATGTTTACACTTAACACGGCTTTCTGGACTCAAAAGAAATATAAGACTTGGTATTAGAAGACTTTCCTTGTTTCACCCTGTATATTCATGCTATCTCTCTCCTGCCGACTGGCCAGGTCGCTTTGTGAAGGCGTTTTTGACATGATATTTTTTTAAACACTAAAAACGGGTATGACCATACAAACTTGCACACACCTAATAATGATGATAGTATACGAATATAGTTAATTTGCATAACTTTATTCCTTAACTCACCCACACCTAGTTTCTGATACAATGCTCAGTTATAAGGTTAGTGGAAGGACCAGATATATAAGAAACACGCAGGAGCAATAGAAGTAATATCAAGATGGAACAAAAACTACTCACCCTATAGCTTGATAGACCTGGCACCTAGTATCCGGATCACGAGCGGCATTCACTATACCCTGAGCCACATCAGATACAAAAACAGGTTGTTTTATAGTTTCCATGCCATTCTTGTAGACGGGCATAAAGTGACTGTGAAGGCGCCAGCCGGATGCGATACTCCTAAAATCATTATTATTTTATTCAGTACTTTTTAGACCGGCCACATACATTCAATGGTAAAGCCACGGCCTAAAGGTACGCAATAGCGTGGAAGAGTTAGCGTAATACACTGACCATAAGACAAGGACGCACTGACATATTTTTGGCGAATCCAAATTGCTGACGTCATTCTCATTTTCACCACATTTTTGGAATACTTAATGCGCTAGGTTTCTTTAATATAATTAAGAACGAAATAATATATTTCAATTAAAAAAAATATGATCGAAAATAGCAGTTGGTTGGTAAGGCATTTTTTTTTGCATATGGTACATGGGTGAGCAAATGTATTAACCGATACTGTGATTATACATCATGACTATAATATATTATTGACAAAAAAAAAATCAAAGCTTAACTGCAATCTGTAAAAAACAGAAAAATAAGCAAACTTTCTTATAATATGCACTAATTAAATTAAATTAACATTACCGAAAAAGTTAAAATCCTTCTTTTTTAAATGCAATGCTGATTGATATAGAGATGGCTAGTATGTAATGATAATATGAATTATTTTTTATCTTTTTTACATTCCTCTTAATATGTGTATGATTGCAGCACTATTATTTATCCTGAGCAGGTGATAATTGCTAATAGTATTTGAAATATGTAACAAAAAAGTGTTAAAGAACAGCACTAAAATACATAATAACTGTCTCGAATGTACGACGATAATAATATTTATATTTGTCTTACACCTTTTTATGTACGAACATTATTGATTATTAATGTGTTTTTGTTATTTGATGAATGATTATTTATTAGTTTCAATCTTATTTTTTTTTCCTTTTTGCTCTAAATTCCAGCAGGTCTCGTAACATGGCGTGTCTCTTTGATTACAGAATATTAAATTATCTACTTTTATGAAAAAAGTAAAAGCTGTCTTCCCCATAGAATAGTCAGAATAGTCATATATCATGTTAATATTGTATGTATAAGTATATAAGTAGGTATTATTTAAGTTTAGTAATATAACACTTATACACCTGTTAGCTAGGTTTAGTCTCAGTGTATGTGTGTATACATTATATATGTTAGCACTACTTTTTAACTCGTAATTGTTAATAGATAACTATGAACTCATAGTTGGAAGATCACACACCGACTAGTCTGTGAAGTCACAAGGGTCCAACTGAAAACCAGCGCTGTATTTGCAGCATTATGCTGAGTTGGAGACCTATTTGATGTCACATTTTCATATTGTTTTTTTTAACTTTTTTGTTTGTTCGTTTGTTTCATTATTAATTATTGATGTGTATGTGTATGAACTGCTTCTCAATTGTAACTGCATAAGTAGTATTAGACTGGTACATGTGTATATCAAATAAATAGTTCTTTATTTCTTCTTTCTTTCTTTCACTACATCCTAATGATAATGTTAATAAAGAAGATAGTGTTATTCACTAAAAGTATAATTAAATGTAATCAAAATTTCATCTATACTGAATAAGAAATTTTTCGTTGTACTGAAGGCATAAGAGAATCTACGACCTATACCATCAAGGTTTTAATAGAGGCAACAGAAAAGAGGGAAATTGAAACAGGAGATGAAGAACAACTTAAAATAATTAAAAACTGCAGTTGCAACCCATCTGCCAAGTGGGCAAATATCCTATGACGCAAACAATGCGGGAGATCCATGTTTAGCAGTAGACATTTATAGGCGTTAATGATGATGATGATGGCAATAAATAATTTATTTAAAGCTTTATATTAAAAAAAAATTAAAAAAACTTACCTCAGGAAACGATCCTCAGAGCCATAAATATCAGAAGCACGAAGTATGGTGGCAGTTGGGAACTCCTCTCTTACGGCACATTCCCCTAGATACTTGCTAATTTTGTACATGGATGGTGTCTTCATAACCAAAGGTTTCGGGTTCTTTTCAGCATTCAAATAAGACAGATGGATCAGTCTTTCCACACCCATTTCTCGACAAATCCTAAAAGTATGACAGATGTAAAGATATAGTGAAGTGTTTTAAAAAGTAAAATCTTGACCATATACATAATCTAATAGATAAAGCCATTAAGGCTTTATATCGGCTTTCTCCTTTGACAGAGAAGTCTTTCTTCTTTTAACATGTTACATAATTCCTAACTTCATAATCATTTGTAGCAATGTTACGTTACATAGTATATAGTACACAATTAAAGTTTGCATAATGATGGTATAACAAACGGAGGTTGGATTTATAAAATGCACAATAATTGATAGAATCAGGCGTTACTTTGCGGAAATTCATTATAATGGAGTTGTTTTAAACTAATTTGCTTAATTCCGCGTAAAGAAAGAAAATGATGTGTCCTGCCCAGTTTTAAGGGGACCTCCCACCCTCCCTCAATCGCGCGCACTATACCCGCCGCCGTTAATCCCAGCACTACCACCCCCAGGACCAGCACACTAGGCCACACCACTCTCGAAAATACGACACGGCTAACCTAGGATAGTGGCCAGCCTCCGCAGAGTCTACTTCACCTGAGGATGCCTCGTGTAGAGGCGAAACAAGAAAAGAGTGTTGGTAAAGAAATCCGAAACAACACTGCTGTTATTATAATAATTTTTAAGTTTAAAAAGAAGTAAATAGCAATGTGAATAAAAAAAACTTATATATGAAAGGTAACACCATCTTGCATTTAAAAAATTGAAGAATTCGGAATTTTTGTAGGATGTAGATTCAGCAATGCTATTTCAGCAGTCTAGTGAGCAGTGCGGCTGCAAGTAGTTTTAGTGTACACACTTTGACAGAGGGGAACTCCTGCGTATAACTCTGATCCGTCGGTGGCCCGTGTTGCTTGATGGTTTTGTTTATCTTGCTATTAAAGTAAACTGTTTAGTTATGCAAATTGATAAGACTAGTTGGTGATTCAACTAGTTGATGAACAAAAATGAATGGTTTCGTTATGTTAACGAAAAAAATCGTCAATGGTCCTAACCAGCAGCGGTGCCTAAAAAGACTGGCTGTTAAAATAATGAAAAACTAATAAAACTCCTAACACAATAATAGACTTAATAAAGTAAGGTTCTTCAAAAAAATTGCACACACTTTTGAAACATTGTCAGCCATCTTGCTCGCACATATTGGTACAAAATACTAGATTAATCAACATAACATTGTGTATAATAATTAGTTTAAGAATTCAGAGTGAAGTTTACTACATTTCCATGACCATTAAATAAATTTAACTTACTTTATTTTATATATCAGGGGGTATACTAACATAAGGCTCACTTAATGGTAAGAGACTACTATCGCCCATGAACAACTGCAACACCAGGGAAATTGAAGATGTGTTGCTTTTCACGAAGTTACCTAAATTTTATCAATCCGGAAAAATCGCTGGTAGCAGTCGATTTTAACTAAACAACTTAATATTTCTTTATTTTATATGAGAGAGAGTAGATGAATTTTAGATGTAAAAGTAGGGTACATTTTAATCGAATTTTCAGTGACTTAATTGGTATTATTTTACAAATTTAGTATTATTGTAGTAATTCTTATAAGGGTGAATAAATATTGATGCACAAGTGGAAGGTAAAGTTATAATTTTTTTCAAAGAAAATGTCAGAGCCTTATTTAATTACCCTACCATTTTAATATATCATTATTCATTTTGATTACTGATGCCGATATTTTTAAAAGATCAGTTACTGTTGACAATTTAAGAGGAGGGCATCTTCCCAAAGTATGCAAACATGGCCATGTTTCAAACATTACCAGGGTCGGCATTGGTGCACGGTGCAGAGCCGAATTAAATATTTATTTGCTCAGTTTGCATGTATATAAATAAATGAAATATTTCAGTCATATAAACTGCAATGATCCAAGCTCTTATATTATCAGTAACAAAAGGCTTTCCTCTGATCACTTGTTTTGTCCTACTGTATTTAAGTGTTTAAGTGATAGACTTCTATGTACAATACCCATCTATGAGCGTGTGTCGCTAGCTGGTTCGGTTAATAAGAGCCACACAGTTATATTTTCATTTACGACAGTTAGTATTAACTCTTTCTTCCAGAAGTGGCCTCACAGAAAGTGGACCTGATCGAGCCCCGATGGTTTAACAAAAAATGAGATCAGCTTTTACCTGTCCACTGCTGGATATGATGATGATGCTGGATATATATAATTTATGGTAAGGGTTTGCAACATACTTGGCAGGATTGTCAATAGCAGTATCAGATTTGTTGCATCTATGACCCTGCTTCCAGAAGCTGGTTTTGGTATTTTAAATTTGGCTTACACTAGATGGTGATATTGGCCAGATATCTATGGCCTAGCCATATTTTTCAGGTCGGGGGGTTAGATTCTCCAACACCACCACCATACTGCAAAAAGTGTTTGGCTTGCCCTATATATTGGTATCTAATCTTAGACACATCACTGACCACCTAAGGGGATGAGTAGTTATAATCGAAAACTTATTAAGCTCTTGCCAGTCTTATTGTACAAATTTTTAAATAATGTTATGTAGTACCTAGCAATACGCCGAGGCCCTTCAACATGGACATCCTTGTATTTAAAATTTTTGGTTTCATAATCTCTTCCAATAAGATTGATAACAACATTTGAGTATTGAACAGCTTTAGCAATAGATGCTTCATCTCGGATATCAAAAGGTGTAAAAAGAACTTGTCCAAGGTCACCAGCTACTTTTAACCTGCTGGCATCATAGAAATCACTTCTGTATGGAAGAATCATCTGAAAATAATTTTTTTTTATCAGAAATATAAATGTTATACACTTTACAAGTATATGCAGGGTATGATATAATATATTAATCCTTACTTTGAAATTTCAAATGTCTTACTGAAAAAATGGTGAGGTTATTTTAACTAAACAGTACCATTTAAACAAGAATGGATAACAGGATAACTAAAAATAAATCACCCATTTTTAAAGTTTAGTGGCCACTTAAGAATAATATACACAACCCCAAATCATACTAGGTGTTGTAAGAGAGGCAGAGCTAATAATGCACATAGGCAGCACCATCTTCTCTTTTTTACTATTATAAGCCAGTGCTAGTTCTATCCTACTTGATGGAATGTGGTGACACAGCCAAAGATAGTACAGTTCATTGACCTCACAAAAGCCTATTCACTCTTGCCATGAAGACATCCAAACTATAGAATCCAAACTAATTGCCAACCTACCAGCCATATGTGGTAACTATGGCAAAATCTAATGTTCAAATCTAACATGGCATATATGAGGCAATCTATGGAGTAAGCCTATATTCAGCAATAAACTTTTAATAAGCTGTGTAATAAATGAATCATCAGGCCTGGTTTTTAAATTTATATTGAAACACTGTTGAATTAAGAACCCATTCTGATTTACCTGATCCTGATCTACCTACAATCAAACTACTAAAACATTTAATTAGGAAAAATAACAAGATTTAATAACAAATGTCAAATTGGATTTGTTATAAGCAACTCAAATTGTTTCACGTTTTTAAATTTAAATGAGAAACTTTTTATATAGCTTATAGTTTTTCATATTTGAAGTTATTTTTTTTGATTATTTTTATTTTATAAAACGTTACCTAACACTAAGATTTTCTCCTGTATCGTGGAGGTAGTTTACAAACAAAAATTGCACGAGGACAAACATGCAGACCCGGAACAATTATTTGTAGGCCATACAAATACTTGTTCTGTGTGGGTTTCGAACCCGCAGTCCCCAGTGCAACAACTCATTGCTAAGCCACTGTGCCACGGAGCCGCCATGATTTAATAAATAAAGTTAGTTAATATGCATACTTTAAGAGTTAACTTGAATTAGTAAAAAATCTATAAATGAAATGAATAATCAATCATAGTTACTTATTGATGTCTGGATTTCAAAACAAAGCATGTTTTAACTTACTTGAGTACCAATTTTTCCAAGTTTATTAACCACATATCTACCCACGAACCCTGTGCAACCAAATACAGTTGCAACAATTCCATTAAAACTGCTGCGACCACCAGTACCTCGCTTGTATGCAGCAAGATTAAATTTATTATCGGAACTGTATGGTGCAGATTTAATATAAATAATGCTCATGGCACCATGTTTAACTATAAAATATAAATTATTAATTGAGAAATTGATAACATTAAAAAATTAGCAATTATGTAAGACTTAATTTATTTTATTATTTATTACGAAACTGCATTACTTACTTAAAATTTTATTGGCCACATGACCTGATAAAGTTATATTAGCCATTTTCAGGCTGTAAATCGTTTCTATTTATGAAATATAATACAATAACTTATTTCTTCGTTAAAAATCCAACACGAAGAGTGTTGTATTATTTGACATTTAAAATAGTATAGACAAGAGACAACTGACAGTTAAAATTATATAGTGTATTATCTATGATTCAAATCAAATCCATCAAATCCAGTTGTAGTTGTTTTGAGTCTATGGTTTTGATTCGACAATTTAGACAGGCAATCGTCTTAAACCATACAGCCTAATATGATTTGCATTTTGTTCATTTATACGTCACATTGCGATATTCTTGGAAGATTTAGTCAACAGCTTTATCAAGTGGACAGTTGATGACGGAATTTCAACTCAAGCCTTTACCTTACATATACTATTTCACAAGCGCCGACATTTACCACACACCACAACGCAAAACTTTGTAGGTAAAATCTACTTCAAATCATTTTAAAACTGTAAAAAGTTTTAAAATGGTTAGAAGTCATCTCAGTCAGGTAGATTTTTGCTACCTGAGGTCAACTTACCGTAAAAGCTCCTTTCACCTAGGAGTGGTCGATACGAAACCTATATAGTAATTGAATTTATATATTGCTTCAATATCGTATATCCGATATCGGCCTGACTAAAAACTATATATCGGGCGAAACCTATATTGCTTGTAACTAACAGCCTATTGCGATTTGCGACGATATTATAGTCAGACAGTAGTATCGAAATCTGAAGTCACACCCACACCGTATCACGAATGATTACTGATACTGAGTAGACTCGATTCTCTTGGTATTTTGGCTCGATTGTTTTATTATATTTCAACTTTTGACCTTAATAAAGGGTAGAAATGATCAAAATGCACTTGTATATTGTAGCACTTGTTAACATTTAGCCTTGAACGAGAGAGCAAAGAAATTAGGAGCGAAAATTTAAGTATTTTTGAAATATTCTATTTTTAGTTTCACGTAGGTAAAACAATCGACTAAGGGCATTTATTTGTTGTTCCTCCTTAGTTTCCGAAGTTTTTAAATTAATAACTTGATTTTGTTTCTGAGTTTATTTGTGTTATTTTGGTATAAAACCATTTAATTTTGTGACTGACATTATAAGTGTAAATAATTATTTGTTTATAAGTACCTATTTTGTATTATAGTGCTGCAAGTACATTTTAAACTTAGAAATTTCTCGTTTATAATAATCTTGTGACTAAGAAAATAATTTGAGACTCATTAGATTAGAATACACCGTTATGTATTTAATAAATCTGTAGTGTTTCTGTGTAGTTACTGTATACGAGTAGGTATTGTTACGCGCCACTATTAATGTCTTGTACATGGCAACACTAGTTACACTAGCGCCCCCTAGTGTCGAGTAAATGAAAGTATTGCGCGCCACTATTAATGTCTTGTACATGGCAACACTAGTCACACTAGCGCCCTCTAGTGTCGAGTAGCAAAACTAGGAGAGTCGAGATCCTTCCAGAAATTTCGGGACCGATATGTACTCGAACATTCTAGATGTCGCTACAGTAGAAGGTTCTGGAAACTATCTGCGGCCCTATATAAGGCCGGTATAGACCACGACCGGGGCAGTATTGAATTGGCGATACAAGAGAATACTTCGAAGCGAAATAACGGCGAACTGTGTTTTATTATTAGTGTGATTTTTGATTGTAATTAGTGTTGTGTAATTAAAGTGTCAATTTTGGTAATTCAGTCGGCAGTTTTTTAATTGTCTCGAACCCGAAGCTCGTAACAATTGGTGTCAGAAGTGGGATCAAATATGCCGATTTTACCGAAAGACGACACGGAGGGTATCCGTACCCGAAGTCAACGCCAACAGGAGACGGACCAGAGACGATTTGGTAATGCAACGCCGCAAACGTCGGAGGGCCAGTTGCTAACCACGGAGGCTGGCCCGTCAGCAGCTCCTGCATCTGCAGCACCTGACTTGGGTGCTCTGATGATGATGCTGCAGGATCAGGCTCACCGACAGGAGGAACAGGCCCGCCGACAGGAGGAACAGGCTCGCCGACAGGAGGAACAGACCCGTCGGCTGGAAGAGCAGCTGCAGCGCGGTATGGAAGAACAGATGCTCCTCAGGAAGGACCTTCACGCTACCTTCGGGAAAGAGATAAAGGAGGTGAAGGATAGGGTTGCTCAACATGACAACCGCCTGTCGGAAGCTGAAACCCGAATCGACCAAGTGAACAATCGGGTTGACAACGTGATGGCTGATGTGAAGAAAACGCTGGACGACCTCAAACTTGGGGATGGAATCACAGCTCCCGTGGTAGCTACAACACCTTCGCTACGTGGATTCAAAGTGCCGCCGTTCGACGGGAGTTCTTCCTGGTCGGCCTACAATATCCAGTTCGAGGCTGTCATGAAAGCGAACGGCTGGAATAAAAGTCAGGCCATGACTGCTCTCACCCTAGGCCTACGCGACCAGGCCTTAACTGTTTTGGAAGCGCTCGGTAAGGAAGTGACTTACGAGCAGCTCCTTGAGGCATTGGAGGCGAGATATGGCGATGCTCACCTGGAACACGTCTTTCGTGCGCAGCTCAAAGATCGCGTGCAACGCAGTAACGAAAACCTGCAGCAGTGGGCCCTTGAGGTGGAGAAGCTGGTTCGAAAAGCGTACCAGTCTGTACCTGTGCTCATTGTAGGGAACCTGGTGCAGACTTTCATCGACGGCATCCGCGACCTTGAAGTCAGAGCTGCTGTGAGGCTCGGGCACCACCAGACGGTTAAGGACGCCCTGACCCATGCACTGGAGGTGGAAGCCGTGCGGCAGGATCATCGTTCCCACCGCGTCAGGGAGGTTGCAGCAGCTACAGTTCAGGACCGCAATAAGGGCTATAACCCTAGGTGCTACGGCTGTGGGGAAAGGGGCCATCTTCGATCCAGCTGCCCTAAACGAACTGTAGAAAGGGAAGGTGATCGATCTCGAGAGGGTAGTGCGGATAATAGCACCGCCCAGCAGCAGCAGGGAAACGAGTAAAAGCCAGGACTGCGGGGCGGGTGCTGGCTGATGTTAAAAGAGCCCCAAGGATTTCGATCTCACAAACCCATGATGGGAACAGCCTAATCATCAAGGGCGAAGTCAACGGAACGCCGTGTAAACTGACCATAGACACTGGAGCCTCTCGCACGGTTGTCAGTTCCCAACTTATAAGTCGGTTCCTTGGGGACTCCGCATACAACCGAGAACGCATTAATTTGGTGACAGCCACCGGTCAGCGCATACCCGTCCGTGGAGAGAAGGAGATGGAGTTGAAGCTAGGCAACATGATCTACCTGCATAATGTCATCGTGGCTGATATAATGGACGACTGCATCCTGGGCCTAGACTTTATGAGGAAGAATTGTTGTGAGATCGACGTTAAGCAAGGTGTTTTGAAATGTGGACAAGAAGAACTTTTCGTGGAAGGGGCGTTACCAGGGAATGTGTACAGCCTTAAGAAGATTGTTCTTCCGCCGAGATCGGAAACGATTGTGCCGGTTAGTCTTCCTCGGAGTCCTGGGCAAGCCCATCGTTGTGTACTCGTGGAAAGGGTAGACAATGACCTTCCATGGAAAGTGGCTCGAACCTTGGTCAGAACCACCGACATCTCAGGAGTACGTGTGTTGAACCTTTGTGATCAGGAACAGATTATAGAAAAAGGCACATTGGTTGGTACTAGTGAGGAAGTGGATTGGTTGCGTCGATGCGAATATCTATCGACCGGGACCCCCAGCAAGGATGGACAAACGATAGTGACCACACTTTTGGAAGACTGTCGCAGCTTTCTTTCCCCGAATGAAATGGTCAAGGCGAAGAAGTTGTTACTCAAGTACGCCAATGTTTTCTCGTCAAACGAAGCTGACATAGGAAAGACTGGCTTAGTTCAACACAAAATAAACACAGGACAAGAATTGCCTATTCGTCAGCGGCCAAGAAGATTGCCTGTAGCACGTGAAAAGGAAGTGGAAATCATGATTGAGGGAATGGTGAAGGATGGTGTTATTGAACCTTCATCTAGTCCATGGTGTTCACCTGTGGTGCTGGTGAAGAAGAAGGACGGCAGCATGCGGTTTTGTGTTGACTATCGCCGCCTGAACGACATTACAAAGAAGGACAGCTATCCCTTGCCAAGAATTGATGACACGTTGGATATGCTTACAGGCGTAAAGTGGTTTAGTACGCTAGATCTGAAAAGTGGCTACTGGCAGGTTGAAATTGACCCTAAGGACAAGGAGAAAACTGCATTCTCCACAGGAAAGGGTCTGTGGCAATTCAAAGTCATGCCGTTTGGATTGTGCAATGCTCCAGCAACGTTTGAAAGGTTGATGGAGCTTGTACTTACCGGGCTAATTGGCGATACTTGTCTGGTCTATTTGGATGACATCATCATCGTAGGCCGTACGTTTGAGGAACACCTTCAAAACCTGGAACGCGTGCTCATGAAGATCCAGAGTGCCAACCTCAAGTTGAGTCCAAAGAAGTGCTCACTATTCAAACGGCAAGTTAGTTTTTTGGGGTATGTAGTGTCGGAAGAAGGTATCCGCACGGATCCAGAGAAAATTGCTGCTGTCAAGGAGTGGCCGGTCCCAAAAGACAAGACACAGGTTAGAGCATTTTTGGGTTTGTGCTCTTATTATCGGCGATTTGTGAAGAACTTTGCAGATATAGCCAAACCTCTGCACAAGCTAACCGAGGAGAAGCGACAATTCGGCTGGGATGAAAGTTGCGATATTGCATTCCAGGAGCTCAAGAACCGCCTGTGCAAAACACCTATTTTGGGGTACCCTGATGCGGGCAAGGAATTCATAGTTGACACAGACGCAAGTGATATAGGACTTGGCGGTGTGTTGTCTCAACGGAATGGTGATCAAGAGATTGTGATAGCGTACTTCAGCAAGTCGTTGTCAAAGCCGGAAAGGAACTATTGTGTCACAAGACGGGAATTGCTTGCTGTGGTAAAGTCCTTGCAGCATTTTAGCAAATATCTTCTAGGGCGGAAA